GCGCAGGAGGGGAAGACCCTCTATGAGATGGACTGATTCGGTGACTGGGGTAATCAGGATGGGTGTGTCAGAGGCGGTGCGGTTGGCAGGATAGAGCAGGGTTTAGAGCTGTTGTGCATAGGGTCACTATGAGTCGGAAATGACTCGATGGCACATAACAACAACAATCCATGTGCAAGGAATATTCCACTTCTCCAGGTCTCTTTTTGTTTCTTGTAGTAATGTTTTGTAATTTTCTTTGAATAGATCCTTTATGCTTCTGGTTAGATTTACTCTCAAGTATTTAACCTTGCAGTTAGCTATTATGAAAGGTATTATTTTTCTTAGCTCCAGCTCTGTATTCTTTTTGTCACTAGAGAAATCCAACTGATTTTTGTATGTTGATCTTGTATCCTGCTACTTTGCTGAATTGGTCAACTATGTCTAATAGTTTTCTTGCTGAGTCTTGAGGGTTTTCTAAGTATACTACCATATCATCTGCATAGAGATAATTTTACCTCCTCTTTGCCAATTTGGATATGTTTTATTCCCTTCTCTTGTCTTATGGCTATCGCTAAGACTTCCAATACAATATTGAATAGGAGAGGTGATAGTGGACATCCTTGCCTATTTCCTATTCTTTAAGAGAATGCCTTTAACCTCTCTCCGTTGAGAACAATGTTGGCTCTTGGGTCTTCATAAATACTTTTTACTATGTTGAAGAAATTCCCCTCTAATCCTATTTTGTTAAGTGTTTTAATCAGGAAAGGGTGTTGAATTTTGTCAAAGGCCTTTTCTGCATCAATTGATAGGATCATGTGGTTCTTGTTTTTTGCTTTGTTAATGTGATGAATTATATTGTTTTTTTTATGTTGAACCATCCCTACATACCTGTCATGAATCCCACTTGGTCATGATGAATTGTTTCTTTGATCTATCATTGAATTCTATTGGCCAATATTTTATTCAGGATTTTGCATCTATGTTTATAAGAGATGTTGGCCTATAGTTTTCTATTTTGGTGGTATCCTTTCCTGGCTTTGGTATCAAGGATATGATTGCTTCATGGAATTAGTCTAGGAGAAATCCATCTTTTTCTATTTTCTGAAATAGTTTATCTAGAATTGGTAACAGTTCTTCTCTGAATGTTTGATAAAATTCACTTGTAAAACCATCTGGTCCAGGGCTTTTCTTGGTTGGAAGTTGTTGTATTACCTTTTCAATTTTTTCTTTTGTAATGCATCCGTTCAGATGTTCAATTTTGGTTTGTGTCAGTTTAGGTAGGTTGTGCATTTCTATTTCCCTTAGGTTTTCATATTTGTTTGAGTATAGTTTTTTCTAATACTCTAGCCTTTTTATTTTAGTTGGTTCTGTTGTGATGTTGCCTGACTCATCTCTTATTTGGATTATTTTTGTCTTCCTCTTTTCTTTTGTGAGTTTTGCTACTGGTTTGTCATTTTTATTGACCTTTTCAAAGAACCAACTCCTAGTTTTGCTGATCATTTCAATTGATTTTTTGTTTTCTATTTCATATATTTCTGCTCTAATTTTTATAATTTCAGGGGTTTTTTTAGAGGGTGTTGGGTTTTCTTGCTGTTCTTTTTCAATTTGCTGGAAATGTTGGGTTAGAGAGTCAGTGGTCAATTTTTCCTGCCTTTTGATGTGTTTGCTTATTGCTATAAATTGACCTCTGATTATTGCTTTGGCAGTTTCCCAGTGGTTTTTGTAAGTTGTGTTTTCATTGTCATTTGGTTCAAGAAACTTTAATTTCATTTTTTATTTCTTCTAGTACCCAGTCATGTTCAGTTCAGCTTCCAAATGTATGATTTTTTTTTCTCCTTTTTCCTCTTGTTATTAATTTCTAATTTTGTAGCATTGTGGTCTGAGAAGTTAATTTGTATAATTTCAATATTTTTTAATTTGTTGATGCTTTCCTTGTGATCTAGAATGTGATCTATCCTAGAGAACATTCCATGCCCTTTGGAAAAGAAGGTTTACTATGCTTTTGGGGGTGCATTAGCCTATAAATAATCTATGAAATCAGCTCGGTTTATTGTGTGTTTTAATTCTTGAGTGTCTTTGTTGAAATTCTTTCTGGTAATTCTATCTTTTCTTGAGAGGGGTGTATTGACATTTCCAAGTACTATAGTAGTGTTGTCTGTTTCCTTTTTCAGTTTTGTTAATGTTTGTTTTATATTTTTGCAGGTCTTTCATTTGGTGCATAGATACTCAATATTGTTATATCCTCTTATTCTATCGACCCTTTGAGCATTATGTAGTGACCTTTGTCCTTTGTGATGGTTTTTGCATTGAAATTTATTTTATCAGAGATTAGTATCACTACTCCTGTTTTATGTTTTGGTTGTCATTTGCTTGGTATATTTTTTTCCCACCCTTTTATTTTTAGTCTTTCTTTATCTTCATTTTTCAGATGTGTCTCTTGTATGCAACATATTGATGGAGTTTGTGTTTTTATCCAGTCTGCTACTCTTTTTCTCTTCAGTAGTGCATTTGAATCATTCACATTCAGTGTGATTATTGAGAGGTAAGGTTTTATTGCTATCTTTGTGTTCAATTCTTTTTGGCGTTGTTACTCATTATTTAAGTCCATCTTGTTTTCTGTGGCATCTCTGTATGAAGGAGACCTCTGTGTTTCCTGTAATGCTGGTCTTGTTTTCGCAAACTCCCTTAGTTTCTGTATTTCTGGGAATATCTTGATCTCTCCTTTATATTTGATGGACAATTTTGCTGGGTACAGTATTCTTGGTTGACAGTTGTGTTCTTTGAGTTTTCTGTATATGCCATTCCATTTTCTTCTTGCTCGCATGTTTCTGCTGAGAAATCAGCGCTTAGTCTTATCTCTTCTCTCTTATAGGTGAGTCTTTGTTTCTCTCACCCTGCTTTCAGAATTATCTCTTTATATTTGGTTCTGGCAAATTTGACAATGATGTGCCTTGGTGTTTTTCTTTTAGGGTCTATTCTATATGGTGTTTGCTCAGCTTCTTGAATATATATTCTCTCATTCGTCATTATGCCTGTAAAGTTTTCATCCAGTAATTCTTCCACAACTTTTTCAGTGCTTTTACTTGCTTCTTCCTTTTCTGAGATTCTGATGATGCAAATGTTAATTCTTTTGTTGGTATCCCACATTATTCTTAGGTTTTCTTCTGTTTTCTTCTTCTTTTATTCTGCTTTTTGTTCAATCAGCTCTGTAGTGACAATTCTATCTTCTGTTTCACTGATTCTGTGTTCCATGTCTTCATCTCTGTTTGTGTGTCCCTCCATCATGTTGACAGCATCAGAAACCTAAAACTTCATATTTTGTTTTCTTGTTTTTGAAATGTCTCTAATGCCTCGTTTGTCTTATCTGCATTGTTTTGGATTTTTTTTAACGTCTTCCATATTTTTGCTTGCAGTGTCCTGTAAATTCATCAAGTTTGTTTTTCGTGTATTGAAAATATTCAATCATTGCTCTTTTAAATTCTGTGTCAGAAAGTTCCATCAGACTTTCTGACTTCAGGAAATCCATTGTTACTGTGTCTTTTTGGTGTCTTGGCTTTGGGCTTGTGGGACAAGTGAAGTACTGTGCTTCTTTCGAGACATTGATGTGGTAGAGTTTTTCATGTCTGAGGTGGTAGCTGGTTTATTTGACATCACTCCTCCAGGAGAAGGTTGGGCAGAAACATGAGCAGATGCATGTAGGGTGTGTGCACACTCAGAGGTTCACATGAGTGGGGAGAGGAGAAGTACACACTGATACATGCAAGGAGGGGTATGGGAAAATCTAAATAATGAAGGAGGAAATCTATTGTTCCCTATCTGAATTGGCTTCTCACCTCTGGAGATGCCCAGCATCTCCTTGTTGTTTGAGGTAGGGAGCCCCACGTGGTCAGTCCAGACACCAGCTTGTTCCCCAAAGTAACTTAATCCTTGAGGTACTTGAATTTTTCAGGCGAGGTTGATAAATCTTATAGATTTGGTATATATGTTTGCCATCCTGGCCTGAAGGCCCCAATGGGGATAGCTGTGGGAAGAGCCCTGACTGGGCCCTCATCTGTCCACGCCGGCCTCCTACCAAAATCCAGGTTTTTAAAGATGGTGCTGCCCCGCCAACTGCTAGGACTCGTAGTTTCTGTACCTGTGTGTTGTAGGCAGAGAGGATGGAGACAGCTGTGGGAAGAGCCCTGACCCGGCCTCATCTGTCCGTGCCAGCCTTCCACCAAAATCCAAGTTTTTAAAAGTCTGAAGTTCTTCATATATTTTTATTTATAAATATTTGAATTCATAGATCTAAAAAATCCTAAATTATCCATACAGAAAATTCAGACAAAAAATACGAAATCTACTGAGAATAAAACAAAACTCCTTTCATCTCCATATTTCATAAGTAACGAAAAAGTATAAAATAATTTCATTAGTAACCTCCAGAAAAGCAATAGATAATTGAGAATCATTTTTCTGTTGGCTCTAAGTAATTTTTTGTAAGGAAATCTCATTTACTCCAAAAATAAATGATGAAACAATTAGGTTCTTAGAGAATCTAGTGGAGTAAACAAGATAGACATTACTGCTACTCATTGCTGTTGTTTCAGAACAGACTCTCTGTTGGGTTTCTGAGGCTGTAAGTCATACAGGAATAGATTGGCCATCCTTCTCCCACAGAGCTGCTGTTGAATTCAAACTGCTATAGAGATGTGGCCATAGGGTTAGCAGCAGAGTTCCCTTTAGAAAAGATAACTAGGAGAAAAATAATTATACTTCTATACAAAAATAAAAATTGCATGTGAACTTTTTATGCCAGCGTAAACATGCAGTAACTTGGCAAAGCATGGATATTTATATTATTAAGTGGTTCTGGTAGTATCTTTGCTTTTCTTGTTGTGAGATTGTTGTTGTAAGATGCCATTGAGTTGATTCCAACTTAGTGACCTACAGACAACAGGACAAAGTGCTTGTTGGTCCTTTGCCATTCTATTTATTGTGAAATTGAGCACATTCTTGCAGCTCCTTTGTCTATTTAGTTGGCAGAAAAATTAGAATTATGCAGAAACTTGGAAGAATAGGGATCTGGAAATAAATCTAAAACCTTATTTGCAACTAAGATGGTTTATACAAGCCGATCTTGTCTCTTAATAGATATGTAGTCCTCCCCCCGTCTTCCCAGTAAATTGAGACCACTCATTGGAAGAGTTAGGATACTATTTATTATTCCTGGTTGTTTTTTTTTAACTA